TAAAATTTGGAACAAGAGAGAGATGTCCCCTCTAACCACTTCTCTTCAACATTGTCCCAAAAGTTCTAGCTAATGCAACAAGACAAGAAAAGGAAATAAAAGCTATACAGATTAGTAAGGAAGAAATAAAAGTGTCTTTGTTCACAGATTATGTGATTGTCTATGTAGAAAATTTGAAAGAATTGAACCTCAAGGGAGGTTTGGGGCAGGGTTTCCTGTCTTTTGATTTTAAAAGAATAAACAGGGGAATAACAATTTAAGAAGGAAGAAATCCAATTAAGAGACTAAGGTTTCTAACTAGAATGACTAAATGCTTAAAACATTTCCCCAGACCAAAACAATTCTTCCAGGCTGGGCAGAGAGGTCAGTAATTTCCTTGGGGGAATTAACAGAGAAGGTTTGCATGGAGCACCTGGAAGGCTGGATCCCAGGCCCAGCCACTTGTTCTTTGTCAAATATTCCTATCCCTTTGAACAATAGGGAGGCCACAGGGTGGTGGATCTAAAACAGTCATGTAAACTAAAGACAGATGACTGCTGTGGGGTGGGATGCAATACCTTGACCCTGTATTAGATCACCACGTAGGAAGAACCCCAGAATATTTGAGATAAATTTCCTGTAGTCTAATGGGGCTGGGGTTTAGAGTCACATTTCATTCACAGAAGACAAAGAAATGTAATATTTCATGTAGAATATACTGATTCTAAGAAAACCAACCAACCTCCCTCCCCTCCCCTCCGCCATACACACATACACACACAAACAAAATCACTATTCCCAGAATGCAGTTCTGTGGACCAGTAAGGACAATTTGTGTGCTAGTTACCTTATTTTGTTGTCTTCTCACTATAAGTTTCCATGATTATTTTATTCCTCTCCTTCTCTTTTCTCTTTGCCTAACTTTTTTTTACAAAGTTTTTTTTACAGTTAATAAAGCAGCAGTACTCATATTTTTTAACCTTTGCTGCCACCCTGTGGCTATCTTTCATTACTGTACATGAAAAGAGGGCATCTAAGAACTTCTGCTAAGGTATCAGATTAGGGACAAGCATAAGGGAAGCACATTAAAAAAAAAAAAAAAATTGGCAGAACATCCAAGATGGTCTTTCACTATAATGCTCAGAATCTGAGGCATGAATCTAGTATATGCTATATGTGTCTCTTATGTATCAGTATTTGTCCTTTAAAATCCTTTTAGTTTATGTCTAACCTTATCTTAGTAGTCCCCCATTCCTCCTCTTAGTTCAAACTAAGATGCATAATTAATCACATTAATTGTTGATCCTAACTTGCCATTAGTGTCAGTTATGGCTTTTAATGGACTCGGAAAAAAACTGCATAGGAAGCTGAACCTATTTACAGTAGGCCCACATATTAAAATTTCTTTGTAGACTTTCATTTTGGTCTAGAACTTGTTATATTAATGCGAAGCATTCTGGCTTTCTCTAAGTGTTAAAAATGAAAGAATCAGTTTTAAGAAGTAGAATATATTCACAGCCCATTTTCCACACACATTTTTCCTGAGAAATAAGGGCTACTGTAATTGTCTCCTTACCACCTGTCCCTACCACTCTAGCCCATTTCTGCTTCTTGTTACCATCTTAAATCAAATATGATCATGCCACTATCCTGTTTTTAAAAGATTCCATTGGCTTCCTATTACTTACAGGATAAAACATAGACTTCTTTGAACACCTTTGATAAATCAGTCTCAACTGATCTGTCAAGCCTCATTTTTAATCGCTCCCATAAACACTGAGTTTTCTTTTCTTTTCTTTTTTTTTTTTTTGCGGTACGCGGGCCTCTCACTGTTGTGGCCTCTCCCGTTGCCGAGCACAGGCTCCGGACGCGCAGGCTCAGCGGCCATGGCTCACGGGCCCAGCTGCTCCGCGGCATGTGGGATCTTCCCAGACCGGGGCATGAACCCGTGTCCCCTGCATCGGCAGGCGGACTCTCAACCACTGCGCCACAAGGGAAGCCCTTACTAGTTTTAAATTAGAAACTAATCAGAATACACAAAGTGAAAAACATAATAAACACTTTTTAAACTATTGTTATCCGTAAAATTATAATTCATTAATTTTTTTAGCTGAACTTGATAATTAAGGTAATTTCATTCATTTCTAAAAATGACCTGAAAAATAAAGTACATCGGTAAGAGTGTCAACTTCTGGAAATTAAAATCTTATATCTTTAATGTTATACCAAAAAGGACTCAAGCTCATTGTCCAGTGAAAATAATGGCTCATTTATTACCCTGCTAAAGTTCTTTCTCTGCCACCCTGCATTTTTTTTAAGGATACATGAAGGACATCTTTTAAGACAGTCCACAAGCATAGAGCCATTGTAGAGGGATTAAAGAAAACAGAAAAACAAAAAAACTAGAATTCAAATCCAGGCTTTACTATTTTTTTTTAATTGTTTCTTCTGAGTTTTAAGGTAAATTAAGCAAATTTACTCATTGAACATTTCAAGTGAAAATCAATTTTTTTTTGCCTAAGGGATTATATAAACTTTCCATTGATTTTGCTGTGATTCTCTCCTTCCTTGATCCAGCTGGGTAAAAATTGCTATTTATGTGTAAAGGATTAAGAATTTTATCTAATGGAAGAAGAGTTTCTGAATGTTCTAATTCAGAGCCAGTTAATTCATTTTATCTGCTCTGTAGTATTACAGGGCACAATACTACATTTTATTTAGCCATTTTAATACTCAAACTGTGGTTTCTAGTTTTTCTTAGTAACAGTACTGTAATGAACATTCTTGTGTAGTCTCCTTATTTACACATGGAATATTTCTTTATGGCAGATGCTCAGAAGTGGAATTGTTACCAGTGTATGCATATTTTAGAATACTAACAAATTGCCCTTCGATGTATATAATCCCTTTCTGCAACCTTGCCAAATTAAAAAAGAAAGTATTTATTTATTTATTCTTTATTTTGGCTGTGCTGAGTCTTATTTGCGACACATGGGATCTTCGTTGCAGCATATGGACTCTTAGTTGTGGCATGCAGCCTTCTTAGCTGCAGTATTCGGACTTCTTAGTTGGGGCATGCGGACTCTTAGTTGCAGCATGTGGGATCTATTTCCCCAACCAGGGATCGAACCTGGGCCCCCTGCATTGGGAGCGTGGAGTCTTACCCACCAGGTCACCAGGGAAGTCCCAACCTTGCCAAATTTAATATTACCAAGCTTTAAAATTTTTCCTGATGTGATGTGTATAATGTTTTAATTTGCATGTTTCTGATTACTAATGAGGCTAGGTAACTCCTGTGTTTACCAACCACTTATATTTCCTTTAGTTGTGAACTGCTGTTTCATGTCCTTTGTCCATTTTTCTATTGATTTGTCTTATTCATGATGATTTATAGCCTTTAAAAGATATAGTGTAGACAGTAATACTTCTTTTGTTGAGGTATAGTTGATTTACAATGTTGTAAAAAGCAAAGTGATTCAGTTATATATATGTACATTCTTTTTTAGTATTTTTTTCCATTATGGTTTATCATAGGATATTGAATATAGTTCCATGTGCTATACAGTAGGACCTTGTTGGTTATTCATTCTATATATAATAGCTTACATCTGCTAACCCCAAACTCCCACTCCATCCCTTCCCCGACCCCCTCCCCCTAAACAAGTCTGTTCTCTGTTAGACACTAATACTTTATTGTTTATTTGAATTAAAAATATCTTCTCCTAGTCTGTCTTTTGTTCATCTAAAAAAATTTTTTTTGACCCTTGTTTGTAAGTGATGATTTATCTGGGTATATATTTTTAGATTTGAAGTTACTTTCTCTCAATATTTTGAGTATATTATTTCACTATCTTCTGGCTTCAATTATTGCTTTTGAGTGGTCTGTTCATTCTAATATATGTTCTCTGTCTTTGTTTTCGAAATTTTCACTCTGATATGCCTAGCACTGGATTTTTTATTTTTGCGTTTTTAATATGGTGAAATATATAGAATAGAAAAGTTGCCATTTCAACCATCATTTAAATGCACAGTTCAGTGGCTTTAATCATATATGCAATGTTGTATAACCATCACCACTATTTATCTCCAAAACTTTTCTGTCACTCTTAAGAGCAGCTTTGTACCTGCTAAACAATAGCTCCCCAATCTTCCACCTGCCCCCAGTCTCTGGTCTCCTCTAATCTACTTTCTGTTTCTATGAATTTTTCTATTCTAGATATTTCATGTAAGTGGAATCATACAATATTTGTCCTTTTGTTTCTGGCTTATTTCACTTAGCATAATGTTTTCAAATTTCATCCATGTTGTAGAAATGTCAGAACTTTATCTTTTTTCATAGCCGAATAATTTTCCACTGTAGGTATATACCACATTTTATTTATCCATTCACCTGTTGATGGACATTTGATTACCACCTTATTGTGACTAATGCTGCAATGAACAATGGTGTACCAGCAACTGGTTGAGTTCCCTTTTCCAATTATTTGGAGGTGTGTCCTTAGGACCAGAATTGTTGAATCATATGATAATTTTATGTTTAACTTTTTGAGGTACCACCAAACTTTTTCACAGTGGCTGCACCATTTTACATTCCCACCAGCTGTGGGAACAAGGGTTACAATTTTCTACATCCTAGGCAACACTCGTTAATTTTTAAAACAATTATGGCCATTTTTTAGGTATGAAGTGGTATCTCATTATGGGTTTGATTTGTGTTTCCCTAATGACTAATAGCATTGAGCATCTTTCATGTACTTATATGCCATTTGTATAACTTCTTTGGAGAAATATCTATTCAAGTGCTTTGACATGTTTTAACAAGTGTTCTAGGTAATTCTGATGCACACTAAACTTTGAAAACCAAATGACTAGAAACTAATGAACTACTACCACAAATAACCTAATAAGATAATTGGAACTGACTGGAGTAAAGGTGTTAGGTTTTATTGTAAGACTATTTGATGGATCAGGGTGAACGTGTGCTGTTCAATTTTAAAGAACTTGTTTCTTGTCTTCTTAAGTACACAAAGGCTGAGGAGAAATGGATAAACATTTGGGGAAAGGATGAGGAGAAATCAAATACAAGGAGGAAAAAGGGAAGCAAGAGCAAGAAAATACTTTTCACAAAACAAGATACGAAGAGTATTTGGGATTTAAGACCAAGTGAAGATTATGAGGTAAGATATATTTAATTGTACTTTATAGAGTAAGTATTCTTTCTCCTTGTGTAGATTGGCAGGTGCTGAATTCAATATTTCTTCTTAGACTTAAGCTTCTTATTCACTGGATTTTAGTTTACTTTTCAGAATAGTAAATATGTTCAAACAGTTCAGTAGTCAAATAATTTTAAATGGTATTCTCTAAGTGGTCTCCTTCCCATCCTTGAAAACTTCCACTTACTTTATACTGTTTCTGTAGGAAGGTAAATACCTTTTTAGTAGCTTTTTTTTTTTTTTCCTGGTGGGTATCATTCTAGTCTTAGTTTATTCTTGTGACCTCTTTCATACAGTAAACTGTCATACTCTAATCTTCCAGGATTAACTTTTGATTTATCAGTGGGGTTTAAATAAACATAAAAGTCATTTATTCTTGCAAGGTGGATCAAGTATTCTATTTCTTTCTCTTTGAATTTCTGCCATAACCACCCAATTTCCCTGAGGCACAGGGTTGCCTCTGACCAAGTCACTCAAGGTGGGGAAGGATGAGTTTGGTGATGAGGCAAATGTGAGAAAATGCAAGCATATAAGGCTTCCCTGGTGGCGCAGTGGTTGAGAGTCCGCCTGCCGATTCTGGGGACACGGGTTCGTGCCCCGGTCCGGGAAGATCTATTTTTTTTTTTTTTGCGGTACGCCGGCCTCTCACTCTTGTGGCCTCTCCCGTTGCCGAGCACAGGCTCCGGACGCGCAGGCTCAGCGGCCATGGCTCACGGGCCCAGCCGCTCCGCGGCATGTGGGATCTTCCCGGACCGGGGCACGAACCCGTGTCCCCTGCATCGGCAGGCGGACTCTCAACCACTGCGCCACCAGGGAAGCCCGGACCTTATTATTTTTAAAAATAAAATATAAAACTCTATATAAACTGACCCCTGAACATCTGTATCTCACTTACTGTCATGTCTCCACATCCTTTTACAGAATGAGTAAATCTCAATTCACAAAATTCGATGTAGTCAAGATATGTCACTCTTTAAAATTCTACCTATACCAGTAGGCTGGTGGCAAATCCATTTTCAATTATAATTAGACCTTTCCCCAGGGTAAAGAACACAATGTGAAAATTCGTGGCTCAAGAGGATGCACGGGTCCAGGTCTTCCTGGTCACAAGAATAGTGTCCAAAATCTTACAATAGAAATGAAAGAAAAATGAAGCAAATTATAAATGAATTCGTAGAGAGTGCTTGATAATTACAAGAATATCAGAACTTGGATGTGGTACGTCAAAACTTGAGAAGGTCACTGTGCCTGGAGTCCATTTTGGTAATAAATAGTTTGCAGTTCTTATCATGTAGTATTATAATAAGCCAAATATGTATCTTTTTCGTTTACTCTGCAGTATAATTTCTCTAAGGAAGGAATCCCATTTTATTGAATTCTGTATCATAGCATGGAATATAGTGCCTGACACACAGGAAGTAATCAGTAAGTGTTTCTGGAATGAATCTTCTTGGTCCAAGGAGACACAATGATTGATTTGCAACAAGTGTACTCTTCAGGTACATTTGCAGTCATGATTTGCAATGAACAAAGAAAAAAGGACTAGAACTAACTGATAGAATTTATTTTAATCCTGGTAATTTACTTCCTTTTGTCATACTCCTAATTTTTTAAATATTTCATGCCCCGGATGGATGCTTAATTGATACTAATTATAACCTTTATTCAGCTCTGAAATATGTTTTTTTCTTGGCTTTCTTGTCTGAAGTGGGCTGGAGAGACAGCATGGTTTGAGGTTATGAGTGTGGACTTGGAAACCAGATTTCTTGGTATTGAATTCTGGTTCAGCCCTTTACTAGCTGAGTAGCTTAGGGCAAGTTACACCTCTCTGTGCCTCACTCTCCTCATTTGTTATAAGAATACCTATTTCATAGAGTTGATATATTAATACCTATGAGGTGCTTAGAGTAGAATCTAGCACAAAGGTGATAACATTTATCTTTCACTTTTGCCTAGCCTGGAGACAGAGCTAAGGGTGCTTGAACTTCAAGTCCTTTAGAGCTCTTAGTTTATAGCATCCAGGCTGCTGTCAGACTCAACCAGATGAAGACTAGGACTCTAGGACTTTTCAGGGACCTTCTCTTCAAACTCCAGAAGCTTCTGCCCCTCCATCCATGTAATGGATGATTTTAATACTTAATGCCTCTGAATACCTTCTTGAGTTTGTATCCATCCTTTGGTTCTGGCTCAAAGTTGCAGAAAAAAGATGTAACAACAGTCCTATTTGGGCTTTGAATCCTATATATTCTTTCTTCTAGGAAAACTCACGTCTACTTGAATCACCTCTTCAGCATTTTCAATCTGTCATCCTTTCTTGAATCTGAAACCCAAGGTTAACTGACTGATCACTTGTATTGGTCAATGGCAGATTTGGTTCTGAGGTCACGTAACTTCCAATTCAAATCAAGTCCCAATTAATTATGCTGCCTCCCAATGTTGGACATATCCAACTTTCTATTTCATATTTCCCTTTAATGTAGAAAGTCTTTCCTTGTCAAGTCAGCCTTTTATTCTCTCATAAATCCACTCTTCAGCTTTTTATTAGGGTAATCCTATAACCAAACTCACTTTACATGCTCCTAGTACATAATCCAATACTTTCTTCTTTTCCCTGCAACCTCTAAATGAAGCCTACTGTGACCACCACCTCTGTAATGTTTTTCATTTTTTGAAATCCTTTAGCCCTTGATTGCTGTGAATTTTTATCTCAGGAGTCTATTGGGAATCACATGGAAGTGTAATAAGTGTTTATTGAATAAATGAGTAAACAGTAATATGGGCTGGCCAGAGAAAAAGGTTTATTCAACAAGCCTTCAGAGATATAAAAACTCTTTTCTTCCATGGAGACCTGAGTCTGTGGAACAGGGACTCTAGCAAAGCAGTTTTCATTGATGTGGTCTTTAAGCATTTCCAGTGTCTGTGATAGTGGAAAGAATAGAAAATTAAGATGGACTTGGGTTTCCAGAACAGTGAATATTCCTTCCTTTAGATCTGGGTAGCGTGGTTCCTGAGGAAATCCAATTAGTATAGTGGGAAATGAGATCCGTTACTTAAAATTATCTAATATGCGATTCTGTGAACTGTCTGAGGTATGACTGTCAGGGGCCCTTTCCCAATAAATGTATTTTTCTATAATAAGTTGCACTGTGAACAGTATGATGTCTATGAGAAATATTTAGCTAGAATTTTATGGAGGAGATTTGAGGGGCAAGCCGAAGGGGTTCTGACTCCGTCTGGAAGGAGTGTGAATTGCTCACCTTTGCTGCAAGGAGCACTGTACTCAGCAATGGCAAACTCATCTGAATAAAAACAAAAATGGTCAGAAGTGAGAGGGAAAGCGAACATCTGTGTTACAGGTCAGTGAAAGCATCTTCATTGTGGGAAGAATCGCATCAGAAACCTCAGCAGCATTCATCTGATGTGCTGCTTTCTGTCTTATATTTTCAGATACTTTATGTTATGCTTTCCTTTACCCTAAGCTCCTGAAGGGTAAGAGTACGGATGTTACGCTTATTTAAATTCCATATTGTCCTACAGTTGATTTTATCTGAAGAAAAGGGAACCAAATATCTTACAGGTGCTTTGTGTTAGTAATAATGTATTTATATCAGACTCGATAGAGGCAGGATGAAGCGATGAGAGTGGTTAGTGTCATGAACTGCCCAACACATCTCTCAAAGCTAAACTTCTGTGGTCAGGTATTTAATTTCTGTGTGAACTTTGCTTTCACTCACCTGTCTCATAATAATCATAGACTTTCACTATGGCTGGTTTCAGATCCCTTACTGGGATGTCTTGAAGAACCGTGAAGGACAAGCTCAGGGTCTGATTTGTCACCTATAAAGCAAAAGGGAATTAAATGACTCTCCAGGGAGCTTTCCTCTGTCTTCTTTGAGCGAATTTAAGTATTCATCTATTTTGGGGAAAAACTTTTTGTCAACTAACAGGGTACTTAACTTGGGCCAAAAGCTCTCAGAGTAGGTGAAAACTTCCCCAAATTGTTTCTTAAATAACTAAAACTATTCATATACTCCCATCAATGTGAGTGCATAGCTCTGTTCATAGGGGGTGAATGATGCAGGCTTTTTATTGTTTGAATAGCTGTGTTTATGTTTAATTATCAGAGATTCAGTACAGCTTCACTACTCTATCTTGTAGAAATACTTGTGTCGACTCAAAAAGGAATATAAAAGGTGGATCACTGCAGCCTATGTTTCATAAAATTTGTAAACTATAATATCCGTCAATGTAGGAATGAATAAACTATGCAACAACATACAACTATAAAATCAGATTGGTTTATTGGTGCACTGGTCTTGTTGTTTTATGGTCTAAGTCCTTGCTGAGATTGATAGCATATCCCCCTTTTGTCTTTTTGATGTGCTGTTGATACAATAATTGACTAATAATGGTTACTTCCTTATATGTGTCTTCAGAATAACTTGTGCACATAATGAGCACCTTTTGTGGAGAATTTCTTGCTTATGGGGTCCTAGAAATATTCATATCCCAATATTATAACAAGTCATTTCTTCCCATAGTCCCAGATGAAATATAAATAGAGAAGGAGAGGAGAATATTCACTGGACCTAATGTTAGAATTCTCAAATTTTTAGCATGGAGGTGATGTCTCCAAAATGCCTTCATTCACTTCCCAGGTAGCTCATTTTCCATATTTTTTTTGGATAGGATGGCAGGGCTCTCACCTTATCCAGGTAAATCAAAACATGGTTGTTGCTGACTTCTGTTCGACTCACGTGGTCAGATGTTTCAAGCTGAAGAAAATTAAGACATCACAAATGTTAATAAACAGAAGAAAACCCTGGGGAACCAGAGAAAAGAAGAATGTTTATTACCAAATTAAGCCTGAGGGTAAAATTTCTTCAAATGCTTTTTGTAAGCAAAGGCAATAATGTGGCAGAATTAAAAATGAAAGATAATTGGGATGCAGGGTTTAACTTTAATACGACACAGGACCTATGTGTAAATTGATTTATTTGAAGAAAAGGGAACTAAATGTCCTAAACTTGGAAATTACCCATATTTCAAGGTTCTATTCACATTCCATTCCTTCATGAAGGAGGTTTTTGTGTTTTTACTTTTTTTGCTTATTATAACTTGTAGCAATCTCAGTTTCCTCTGTACTTCTGTAATAGTTCTGGTTTATGTCAATCAATCTTTCTCATATTTTTTTCACTAGTTCATGTGTGTATGCTTTATCTTCTGAAGAGTCTAAGTTCCATTAAAGCAGTAGCCTGCTGACAATTTTTTCCTAGTAGATGTGGCTCCTAGCAAAGTGCTGTTGATGACAAGAGATAGACTGTTGCTGTGGGTGTCCCTAAAGCGGTGGACAGGAAGCCTGCTGGAGCTGGCAAGGTCACCAGGTCTGCCCAGATAGCTCAGAAGGCTAAATGAATATGATCCCTAATACCTGCTACCCCAGTTTGATCAATGGTGGAAGCCCAGTCTCAAAACCATCTGAGTTGACCATTGAACTTAGTAGTGAAAGACTGGTTAATGATAACAATGTATCGTAAAACTAGAAGAAAAGGAGAATGTTTTATGGATCATTTGTTTTTCTGTGGGCGGCAGTTTTGAGTTATTAGTTTTTAAAATTAGTATTTTTATTAATACCTTAATGGAAACTTGACCAAAAATCCATCATAAAATTTTGAGACCCATTTAAACAAAGTTAAATGAGAAAACAAACAAACAAATAAACCCCCATATAAACGTGCTAAATTATATTTCTCCTTTTGGAGACAGTAATGTCTTTGATAGAAGTTAATTTAATAGTATTTTTATATTAATGTTGTCTTAGTCTAGAGATACATAAAATATTAAATAAAATAGGGTCTCCTGGGCTTATAGTAAACCTACCATTTTCACTGTTGGTTTCAAGGGAATGAAGCCAGATACCATTTTCACGTCAGCAATCACCATGTTGGAGGCTGGACGTCTTCCAGTGTAACTAAAGATCCAGGGAAGAAAGGAATTAGGATTTTCTGTGTTATTAATTTTTTTTTTTTCTATGTCCACAGTAAGCACTCAACAGCCCTGAAAAGTACCAGAAGTCTTCCTAAATTTCCTGCCAAGTAGCTCAAAAAACTGGCTGTGCATTAGAATCTTCAGGGGAGCCTGTTAAAGCCACAGAGACCAGGCCTATACTCTAGACCTGATGAATCAGAATTTCATGGGTGTGAACTCTGAGGATCTGCATTTGAAGAAAGCTCTGTAAGTGATGCTTAGCTGGGCATGAGACTGCTAATCTGTCCCAGTTATTTGTTACATATACTTTGCCTCTTTTCCTGAATAGTATCCCCAACCAGGTTATAATATTCTTGAGGACAGATACAAATAGCCCTGTAGGTATTTGAATATGGCTGCTTATGTATGTATTTTCCCCAAAATTGATTATTTTATGTATAATCTGAGATTTAATTATTACCAGTAGGAATTCTAACTAGAGAGTCACTACTTCCTTCTGTTCGCGCTTTTCAAGAAGTCTCCACCTCTGTCCCAGATAAAGCAAGAATAATATAGGATTTCATTACAATAGAATGAAATCAGGATGAATAATTACATTAGAATAAAGTCAGGAATTCAGGTTAGAGGTTCTTTATTTATTATTGAGGGGAATTAATAAGCTGTAAATAATGAGACTAGACACTAATAGATCCTGGATTTGGGGGATGTACAATGTATGCCCCATCACTGAGAAATTCTGTGTCAACACGAGAACACGTTGCTTTTTCAATAAAGGTAGAACAAACATTCACTGTTACCCTGCTCTGCTTAATGCGGAGTTCCAGTAAGAAGATTGGTTGTTATACCCAGAACTGCGTGATGCAGTCAGAGATCTTACCTGACTCTCAGTGAGATTTGGAAGCTGGTATGAGCTCTGGGTCCATCACAAGTTTGGGGCAGAGTCTGCACCTCCAAAGCAAATGGGAACTCTTCCTTTCTTGGGAGAATATTGTATTTCAAAGATGTCTGTGGAACAGACAAAGATCTGTGATTTTTCCCTTGCCCAGGATTCCTCCCAACTTCCTCAACTCTTTCTTTGATTTGCCCCATCATTTGCTGTGTTAGGCCTTCTCAGTGACAATGTTACTCTGGACCTTTTGTCCCCACCTGCCCCTGGAATCTCACCTGGAGGTAAACACATCCTTCTCCTGTCGTTGTCATACTGTACTCTCCGGGCACCTCTGGCAATGAAACCTGCTGTAGTAACAGGAGGTTGCTGTTGTCCACTCGGAATTTTGTGGAAAATGTCCCTGAAGATTGGATGGTCACCTGTGTAGCCTTCCCAGTCCTGGTGAAAGTGGCTGCTCCATATTTGGACAAAGCATGGAGAGCCACCACAGTGTCCTGGAAGAGACAGGTGAGGGAACCCACTTAGGCATGCTAACCCTTTGAAGACCCAAAGGCCCATGTTAGCTGCCACAAAAGGGGCTTTGATTTCTTATTTCCTGTTTCCCTCACTGCTTAAATATTGAGGTTCTCATTTCAAGATTGATTGTAATCCTTAGATAGATGACAGAACCATAACCTTCACATATCTGCCTTGTACTATATGCTTTAGAAATTTATTTCTCAGAAAATCAATTCTTTTCTCTCTATAAATATATGTGAGGTATGCAATGTGGAGAATATATATGAATGGGAATTATTTATTAGCATTAGCTATTTGCCTAAGATGTCTTTCTTGATAACTGTGGTCATATCTGTCACCACCCAACCAAAGCTTAGTTTGGCTCTCACCCCAAGCTACACTCTGCTCCGCTGCTGAGGTCAGTGCCCTGAGAAAACCCAGGGTCCTTTGCAGCCATGATCAGGGTCATGCTTCAGTTTCTCCAGAGGAAATAAAAAATGAATAATTATATTCTGGATTTGTTGACATTTTTATTTGGTTCTCTCTTTTTCATCAGAAGTTTGGGTCCCCCTTCAGCGGGCAGGTCATATTCTCAATTCTCATCCACATTGAACCTGGCATCCTTCAAATAATAATTTTCTAAGAAACGAATGATAACTTTTAACAAAATTATTTTCTCCATTTATATGGAAAAATAAGAGATTAAATACAGTGGAAAAAGGATGGAATGTCTCTCTGTCACATTCTGCTTCTCTTTTAGGGTGCATACGCTAACCTCTGAATTCTCTGGAGATGAAACTCCCTGCTCTGTCTATATTGATGAATTTTTTAGATATAAGATTATATAGTTAGGCTCAGGAGGTTGGTTGAATAAAGATAGTTCTTTATGCTCCCAATGAACAAATGTTTGTATATTAAGAGGTGGATAGAGGAAGCATGAAATGTGTCAGCCTTAAAAGAAGCCAGTCAAAGTGGACCTAGAAATGGAGAGCTTTGCAAGGAGAGGTGATTGGTTTCTGAATAGTGTTTCTGGGAACAACTTGAAAGGACTCTTAGAACTTCCAGAAGAATGGTGGATTTTTAAATTCGTTCTGCTGTGGCCATTGTGTGTAGGGTCCTGGTGCCCCACTATTGCTTTAGGGATGTAGAGTTATTACTGGAAATAGGAGCCTGTGATAAAAATATGGGATGGGGGTGGGGCAGAATTGGCATTTTCTTTTCAGCCCTCTTTTTTTTTTTTTTTTTGCGGTACGCGGGCCTCTCACTGTTGTGGCCTCTCCCGT